GATCAATTTGATTATATAAAAAGTATTTTTTTAATAGTTTCGCTGCATCAAGTGCTTGTTTGATGCTTGGTGGAGGGACAGGATCGTCTTCTTCAACAACGTACACAGCTGCAGTTCTTATCTATTTCGGCAACTTAGAAAGTACTGCTTAATGATTTATAATGCCGCATTGTTGTCGTTAAATAGAGTAAGCGTGACGCTATATAGAGTGTAATATTGTATAGAAAACCATGTAAACCAACCAAAGCCAAGCAATTTCGACGTTTTAAGGAGTTTGTCGTTAAATCGAGTGACGTTATAAAGAGTTTACACTGTAGTTAAGGATGTGGGACGTTCTAGTTTCAGGGAAATACGAAGGTTAGTTCAGGATAGGAAAAAGTGGAGATGCGTGTCCAACCAGTCTTGGACTGACTGACGACCTTATGATGATGATGATGATGAAAGTTAAATAATTAAGGATGAATTATAATAGATTTGTACTTCTGATATTCAGGGCTACACTTTTAATTTTTTTTTGTTTAGCATTATTAATTTCAAAAAATATACGACATTTAAAGAAACTGTCTGAAGAAAGTTAAATCTTTTGTATATATACCTCTGAATTAAATTGTGGAAGTTAGATTCAATTGAAATTTCACTGATTTTCGTAAACTTTCAGATTCTCTCCACGAGTAAAATAAAAACAATATAACAAATAAATCGAAGAATGGATCTAATTTGGAAAATAGGTCAGCTTTATTTCTTCAGTTGACACTCATTCGTTTCCAGTTTAGAGCAAAAGCTACATATCATATCTTATCAATAACTGCAACGCTATGATTTCCTTAAGCATCATCTAATAGCAGGAAGACAAGCAGAATAGAGAAGGTTGACAGATGAGTTCTCAAGAAAATGTCTGGTATTTGGACAGCTGTGGGTCAAGTGGCGAATTTCGCAATTGGATTGGGAGGAAATCCTCTAGCAATAGCAGGACTGGTCCCAATATTTGCAATGGCTTTAACGTATTTACGGTATTCGGCTGTTGATCCAGAAAACCATCCTATTAATGTTAATACAGTGAGCAGGATTTTAATTGTTTCATATTTAAAAACCGTAAAAATTCTAAAACAAACTGTTTTCAGGTTAATGCCGTGTATGATTTTGTGATAGTTGGGGGTGGATCGGCGGGGGCGGTGGTGGCTTCTCGACTTTCGGAAATTTCCAACTGGACTGTGCTTCTTCTGGAAGCAGGTGGCGATGAGAATGAAATTTCTGACATCCCGGCTCTGTCCGGTTACATGCAAAAATCAGAAATGGATTGGATGTACCAGACAACACCACCTGGTGATTCCCCTTACTGTTTGGCAATGGTGGGTGACAGGTGTAACTGGCCCAGAGGGAAGGTAATTAATTTTAAAGAAGCACTATGTACATATGTATTCAGTATGTTGGCAAAGAGTTAAAGTTGAGTTGAAGTACACCAGTATGATGGTCAACATGCCTAAGCGTTAGCAGTTCCATAACTACATAATTTCAACTTGACATCGGCAAAAAAATAGTGAATAAAATCTGGTTCCTCCAATTTATGTTAACAATACTACCAGAACTTTTATCCATGTTGGCGAACTTTTTTGGATACATTCTCTCATTATGAGTACTATCAGTGAGAGCGCGTGAACAGTATTGATGTCTTCGGTCGCTGCTGTTCACTGATTGGAGCCAGTTCGCTCCCAGGTTAATTTTTAAATTTGCAATTTAGGTTGTCTTGAAGGTTAGAAATGAGGAGGTATTAGAAAGAGTAGGAGAACAAAGGGCGTTGTGGGAATGGACGTATCTTCTCTCTTGTTTCCACTTGGGACTGTAGTCATTTGTTGCGTTTTGAATACGCCCTTGTTAAGTTAGGAAATAGTTCATGAGTAGTACAAAGTGAAAAGAGATGACGGAATAATAGTAAGCGGTGCAGCGGTTAGCAGTTGGAGGTTGTTTAGGTACCCAAAAAATTAGCGTCGACTTTATAACTGCGTGGTTGAAATTTTATTTTTCAACAAGCATCTTTGCTTTCCTAAATTCCTGAGAATGCTGAACTTCCTTTAAAGTCCGATGCTGGCAACATGCTAAAATTTTGCTTGTCTGTATCTCTTTCTGTTACACACTTATTGGTGTAACGTTATCCATTTTTATTTATTAGCGTTCGCTGCAATTCCTACCTGACATTTCTTTTCTATATTTACGATATTCGTTATAGCGTCTGTCATGAGTAAAAGTAAGCGTTCTGTAGGTAACCGATCTATTCTACTTAGTTAGTTGAAAGAAGGAAGTAAATATGACAGTTTTATTGCGGATTATACCAATTTTCGTCCCAACTAAAGGACACCTTCTCATACATGAAGACCTTTTGATGATGTTATGTTATAAGCAACTTTGTGTGTTTATAGGTTTTGGGTGGTTCCAGTGTCCTTAACGCCATGATATACGTCCGCGGTAATAAACTCGACTATGACCAATGGGAGGCTCAGGGTAATCCCGGTTGGAGTTGGAAAGATGTCCTTCCGTATTTTCTCAAATCAGAAGATAACAGAAACCCTTATTTAACTCGGACAAAGTATCATAAAGCGGGAGGTTATTTGACAGTTCAAGAAGCTCCGTGGCGAACACCCCTAGCATTATCATTTCTCCAAGCGGGCAGAGAATTAGGGTAAGTTGTAATGCATAAACTATGAGCCATCTAAAGTAGCGGCCGAAGTAAGAAAACTTCCGGAAGGTTATTTTGTCGAATGGCCAACATCCGCAGGAATTTAGTAACAATATTAAGAGGCAATAACCCTTATTGGGTTTATCTTTGTAGCTGAAATTTAAGAAAAATGTTGTATTATACTTCATTTACTTTCTCTAGCGATATGCTCCTTCCAATGGGAGAAAAACATTCATTATACTCTCGACTCTTGTCCATTAAACATACTTTTTCATAAAGTACCTGCCAAAAGTTTTGTTCAATCATGAATAGTAGTGCGAGTCGAAAACAAGCGTTAAAGCCTTTAATATGTCTTCAAATATAAATAAACATCTCGTTGATATTTTCAGTAGTAAATGGTAGCAATAATAGCACATTTGAGCAATGCAATTTTAGTGGATAAAATGGTCAATTTTTCCNTTCAGTACTAAATGGTACCAATAATAGCACATTTGAGCAATGCAATTTTAGTGGATAAAATGGTCAATTTTTCCGTGCAGTACTCTACGGATTATACGCTCCTCGCCGGTTAAGAGTTTGGCCGAGAGTTGTCTCCTTTCTTTTCTGGCCCAGTGCTGTTCTTTTCTACTTTGCGCCGGTCAAACTGAAGGTCACATCGCTACAGAAAGTAAACGAAGTATATCTGCGTATCTCCCATATTTCGATAAAACAGAGTAGTGGAATTCGTTTGAATACACATAACATAATATAAAACGTGTTTCGTTTGAATGGTGTCAAAAAAATTGTAATTGCGCGTAGGCATGAGAAAAGATGGTCTATTGTTGGCAGTTTTATTGCATGAAACGCCACTTTAGAAGACTCAGAGTTTATACCGTCTTAAAGTAATCTTGCCGAAATTTCATTTACCGTGAACAGTAAACTATCTTAATCAATAGTTAAAAACCTTTTTCGTAAATTGCGAAAATTCATATTTATTAGTTTCATTTATATTCAAAGAGTCAGATCCCTGCATTATAATAATTAAAGAACGGAATGATTCCTAAAATTCATATTGTAGGTACTGAAAGACTAACTATCAAAATTTGGGCATATTTCACATAGAAAATCGGGAAGTAAATTAAGACATTTGCTAATTACGTGGGCATGCACTTATTAATACGTACATTGTACATTTTATATTTAAATTTGTATTACAAGATTCAACATAAAAACACGTATTTTTTTAACCAATTAAAATTATTCGTAACGGACGTTTTCTTCTCCTTTCTACTACCATCTGTATAATTAACTGTAATTAAACTAAATAGGTGCAATATTCTTAACCAAAGTGCGAAACATATTTTAATTATCCACTTAATCAGTTGACCAAAATAATTGCCACACTACGCATTGGGCAACTAACTATAAGTAGATACCTCGTAAAAAAATACGCCCTCCATGAAATTTATTCTACAACAAAAAGTTTTGAGTAATTCTTACGATTTGTTGTAAAAATACTTGGCAAATTTAGTTTTTATTTGTAATAAAGCAACTGTTATTACCTGTCCAATACTATAAAAATATAGCCAAATAGTTATGCCCGCGGCTTCGTCCACTTGGAACTTCGTTTGTGACTATAAGCGTCATATTTTATCAATTTCTAAATTAACCTCAACATATAGATATATGTATATCGTTGCGGACTTTTTCAAAGACATTTTCAGCTCTACAACTTTTCTATGTAAAGCATTCGTATATGAATCTTTTACCGTTTTCGTTCACTTTCGTTGCAAAGGTGGCCTCTACGGAAAGCTCATTATAACATATAAATGAAGTAATATACAGCCTATGTCCACCCTAAAGGTCCATTTCAAATATTGGAAAAATAATTTTTGAAATCGGATCAGTAGTCTCGGAGATTACCTTCTACATCAAAACTTACAAATTTACATAAATTGTTTCTCATCCATCTCATCTCATTTTCAGATACGAAGTGAGAGATATAAATGGGGAAAAGCAAACGGGTTTCATGATAACCCAAGGAACTGTACGAAGGGGATCGAGATGTTCCACCGCTAAAGCCTTTTTAAGACCTGTCCGTCTTCGCCGTAACCTTCATGTGGCCATGCAAGCGCAAGTTCACCAGGTTATGATAGATTCCAACACCAAAACAGCGTTCGGAGTGAAATTCGAAAGAAACAACCGAATGCACATGGTATTAGCAAAGAGGGAAGTAATTTTATCGGCAGGTGCGTTGTGCAGTCCTCAGCTGCTCATGCTCTCCGGAGTAGGACCTCGTGAACACCTCGCGTCGTTTGGCATACCAGTTTTGAGCGATCTGAAGGTTGGCCACAACTTACAGGATCACGTGGGCTTGGGAGGGTTGACGTTCATTATAGACGACCCTATCACCTTTACCAAAGACCGATACCAAAACTTCGGAGTCGCCATGGAGTACATCCTAAACGAACGCGGGCCGTTAACTTCCCTGGGCGTGGAAGGACTTGCATTCGTAAACACGAAATATGCACCACCGCACGGATTATGGCCCGATATGCAGTTTCACTTCGCTCCCAGCAGTGTTAACTCAGATGGCGAACAAGTGAAAAAAATCACGGGGTTAAGAGACAGCGTTTTCAATACGGTTTATAAACCTCTGAAGAATGCGGATACATGGACCATTCTTCCGCTTCTGCTGCGCCCTAAAAGTACAGGCTGGGTCAGGTTGAGATCTCGCAACCCGAAAGTATATCCGGATATAATTCCCAACTATTTTACTCACAAAATCGACGTTCAAACTTTGATCGAAGGAATCAGGATCGCTCTGAATGTATCAAACACACGAACGTTTCAAAGGTTCAATTCCAGACCTCACCGAATACCTTTTCCCGGCTGTAGACAGTATGCGTTTGACACTGACGAATATTGGGAGTGTAGTTTGCGTCACTTCACTTTCACTATATATCATCCGACATCTACGTGTAAAATGGGACCACCGACGGATCCTGATGCTGTAGTTGATCACCGATTAAAGGTTTACGGGATCAAGGGATTGCGAGTTGTTGATGCCTCGATTATGCCCAACATTGTTAGTGGAAATACCAATGCTCCGGCTATAATGATTGGAGAAAAGGGAGCTGATATGATAAAAGAGGACTGGCTGGGACAAAAGAATGCTGGATAGAAAATGAATAATGAACAGTTATATAGAGAACAATAGTCGTGGGGTGGATTTCTTCTGTGGTCGTTTGCCTCCCAAAGGCTTTTTTTTTGAAGGACCTATAGAACTAATGTAACGCATTTAAGGGGAGGTACATTTTCATGAAAACTTTTAATGCAAGTGATATGACGACCAGTGTTATTAAAATTTGTAGACATAAAGAACATTCAGTCAGCAATTGTATCAATACGTAAATCCCGTTTCGAACTAATTAGTTCTCATCAGCACGCCGTGGGCAGTTTTGATAAAACGCGGCATCTAAGAAAAGCCTAAACCTCCTTAAACACAAATACATTAACTTTTTACTTTTGTTATTTATGTTTATAGTAAATACAAACTATAGCTGTATGAAAAAAAATTCTAATTTCTCTAAATATTAGATGGGTACGTAACGTGCGCCCTCTTTTACTGCTCTAAAGCCCCCCTACTAACCACGTATCGCCCCCACAAAAGATCCAGTGCCGACTGGGGGGTGGTACCACTTCCGTTAGGAATCTATGAAATAAACGAATGTCTACTTTGGGAAAGAATTGAAAGTTGGTAATCAAATTTAACAAAATTAATTGTTTTTAGAAACTGTTCAATTAAAATAATGTAAATATAAATGTACCTTCTGTATGTGACATATGACTAGTCAATATACGTAAAATATTTTTTATTTAAACAAATGTTGTTAATGTTAAAATGCACCCGTTTTAAATAAAAAGGAAACAATTACGAGTTAATTTTTACCTCTTTTACATATATATATATCTACACAATAATGTTATTTCTATTTAGATATCTATCCATTTTCTATTTTCTTGCATCCTTGCTCCTGGTGTCGTGCTTTAAAAGCATCGTGACCTTTTTATGTGTTCGTAGTGCCGAAATGAAAGCAGGTAAAGCTATAGCGAACTCCTAGCGTCGTCACGATGTAATTTATAAAATGATAAGGTAAAATGTTTACCGAACATAGAAATAGCATTTTTTCTTTTTATGTCGCCCGAGTGAAATAATGAAGAATGTGTCGAATATAAATAAGTCCCCAATCACGTGAAGGTATGTAAAACTACCCCCTGCTTCTTTAAAAACTGTCCTAACAAATTGGTACAAGCTCAAACCGACGAAGAAGATTCAGCAGATCATCAGATCAGATAAGGACAAGAGTGACCCTCTTTTAGCCTCATCAGTCTACCGCATACCCTATTTCTGCAGACAGGTCCACATAGGAACCACTAAGGGATTGGTGGGAACTAAATTCAAGGAGCACAAAGTGAGTTGCTGACTAGGACACACCGAAAAGTCGGCTGTGGCGACCACAAGATACTCTTTGAGAACTGCAAATTGTTAGCTTCAGTCACACCAGGATGGTTAGAGAGACCATCGAGATCCAAAAACATCCGGAGAACTTCAACAAGAAGGAGGAGACCCTTAAACTCAAGCAGAAATGGCATCCAATCCTCAAGAACACGAGAACGGTACCGACTACCATGATCCAGAACAAATAGGACCTATAACGGCCTGAGGTAGAAGGGTTTTGGTTAGTAGGCGTCTTCGAAGTGAGTCCAACATTATCCAATCATACGAACGGCTGGGTGACTATTACAGATTTATCCTCTTCCATGAAACACCTAAAGCCTTTTGAACAAATAATAGCATTCCTCAAAGAATTTAAATCGCTTTTATAGTGCTTATAATACTTCATTTATTTGTATGAAACGATGACTGAAGGTGTTTGGTAGAATTTCCCTATACCACGTCATATTTTTCAGGTGATCGTGCCGCTCGGCTACGTTAGGGTAGTTAATATTTCATATAGACGTGGTTGAAAAACATATTCCATATGTTCACCAAATTATGCATTTTCGTTCATCATTAGCATCACTAGGTCGTCAGTCCTAAGACTGGTTGGAGAAGCGCATCAACTCCTTCCTATCCTGAATTAATCTTCGCATTTCCCTAAGACAAGAACATCCTACATCTTTAACCGGGGCTGAATTTCACAATCTCTGATTTCAAAAGTTGCCCTCTAATCCACTTCGCTCTTTGAATCATTCAAAGTTTTTGTGGTATTAAAACACAAAATTATTAACTTCCCATTAGGAAGTTATTGTAATTGGGTCGAAAAGTGAAATCGGAATTTTCATTATATTTCCACGTTTTAACATATTAGTAGCATGCTAGCCAATTTTTTTGATGATGTGTGTATGTACGTACGTACGTACGTACGTACGTATGTACGTACGTTCGTATGTCAGCATTTTTTTCGTTTTCGATATCTCAAGAACGGATTGAGATATCGCCCTCAACCAAAATTTTTTCGAAAGATATTATCATAATGAAGATCTGAAAGAAATTTGAACGAAATCGGTCAAGCCGTTTTTTTTTTATAAAAAAAAAAACGAATTAATTACAAACAATTTAATTAAAATACGTTCTAATCTAATCACAACAATGAAGTTACGGAATCAATAATAACGAAATATCATTATTCAAGACAGGGAATAACATATTATAATAACATATTATAATAAAAATTTGTTTATAACAAAATGAATTGTTATAAACAATCGATAAACAATAAAAAATAGTATTTACCAATTGACTGATGCAAGTACTCTATCAATTCGGTTTTCTCAGACGAAATACTGTTTCTTATGGGTTTATAAAATGACGAACTCTCAAACATTGTTTGTTATTTATTATTGTGCCGCGTTTTTTTCAAACTTTAGAAACGAATGTACTTTACAATAACTGTATTATCTAATGGGAAGTTAGTCGTATTAGCACCGACCAAACTGTGCTCAGACCAATTATTAAATTTTTGTTTTATTATCTACTATTTAACTTTTTAAATATCAACGGATTGTTTAAAATGTTAATTATTATGAAATAAAAGTAATTTCTACCAATCTTCATGTTTTGTGTCATAAATACTCTCGGGCATGTTAGAGTGTTGTTAAAGGTGTTTCAACATAATTTTCTTGTTCCTGAGCAACTGTGTCGTTATGTGTTATTATATACAGTAAACAATGGAACTGTTGTGTTCTGAATTTCGAAACTAACACTAATTGCCCTCATTTTGACACTAAATTATGCTGAATGCACTTCAGCATCATCAAAGCTACGATAATGTAGTTTAGTAAAAGTTGTTTATGAATGATTACATTACGTTTTGTTGACAGGTTTTGTTTCCAAAGGGTTTCATGATGGTTATCACAAAAGGTTTCTTTTCAGGGTCATAAGCATGTTAATCCCTAAAAAGTCTGACAAGATACCCGGCAAAACCATTGCATTTTATAAACACTTTTTAAGGCAATGTTTTTTTTATTATAATCCCTATCTACTTATTGGAAGTCTATCGCCATCTACTGTCATTTTCGGATCCCTGCAGGCTCAACAAATTACAGAAAAATGCATTTTTAATTAATCGAATTTTTTAAAAAAGTAATAGGAAGGCATATGAATGTTTGGATTTCGATAAATAATTTAATATACATCTTCATATCCTGAGCTAATCTTCGCATTTCCCTAACACAGGAACATCTCACATCGTTAATTATTTGAAATAAACTTTTCCAAACATACACCTTTAACAATCTTTCTAAATTAACCTTTCGCAAGCATAGAAATTACTTCTTTTTATTGAAGGCAACTCCACCTTGTGGTATTATCTGCTTTATATACCTGCTACCCCTTCCGCCCTGACTTATCTGACTTCCTGGATACTGAAAATCGCTCTTTCCCTACTTTTGCTTCTCTTGCATACCAGTGTTTAGGTTTTACTTTTATTTATTTTCATACAATACTTTTTTGTCAATACCGCATCCATTTTATTTAAAGCTATCTCTAACCCCTCCTTGCTAAATGCCAATGCAAATCTAAGCATACCAATTCTTTGCCCTTGTATATCTATCCCTACAGTTCTACTATCTTTAATGGTGTTGATAGCGTCTTCGATGTGTCTTGGATGTAGCGGTTCTCTACGTTGCTGCTGCAGCTCTATAACTGTCTGTTGCTCTTTATACAAACTAAGTATCACTCTTTTATCCCTGTAACTCATTCCTACATTTTTAAGTATATTCGACATCTTGACCTTTTTAGCATTATCAAAAGCTTTTTCTAAATTTACTTATTAAATTATTATTGCTAGTGTTCGCTTCTTCTTTTTTCTGTGGTAGAATTACTCGCCATTGCAGCTCATTCAGCGTTATTATCCGCTACCCGGACGGATTCTAAAACAAGGGCTGGATCCACCGAGCACCGGATCCAAACATGATACCAGGCTCATCTCTACCATAAACCCTTTTTCAAAACATGCAGTAAAGTGTCTATTTTGAACAAAACATTTCAGTTTAGTTATCCACACCAGACATCATAAAAGTTCCACGTACCATGCACTTTCCTTTTTCTTAAATTAATTTAAATTTAATTATTCAAATTACAATATCCAATATTTTAAATTTTAATGCAATAGTCGCTTACCGAAGCTGTATGTGTGCACACTTTCCAGCTTAAACGTTATTTTTTTATTGACAGCATTATTACGAAATCACATTTCCTAACTGACACTAAATTGTAAGTGTTAATTCACAAACCACAGATTATTACATAATTAATTATAAAGATTAATTTAAAGTTTGAAATTACTTTACTTAACGATATGATATCGGAGATATGTTGAAACTAAGTCGTGAAAAAACATTTTCGATTGGGAAAACATTATCTAATAATAAAATCGACTATATAACGCATTGTGATTTCTTACGTGGTAATTTTCCTTAAAATATCTAGAAATATATGCTGATATTGTGACAGTAAAATAAATGTTTTATGCCATGACGTTATTTACAAAATAGTGAGCATGCAAGAATAATGAACTCACAAAATAGCTACTCTAAAAACAAAATTTTATTAATATTTCCATGCTTTTCTTATAAATTTGTTTTCTGCAAGTTTAAATCGAATTATAAAAAAAAGTTTAACGAAAATTGTGGAAAGTTTCATCAAGAAATTATTAACAAAAATTTTCTAATACGTACACAGACGAGTAATCATATCAAATAAGATCTTTAACTGTTTGACTAAATATGAACAATTATTAGTATTGGCACGTTTATACATAGAACTAATTATATTTCATCACTTTTCTATTACATTTGGTTCTTTCGAGATGTATTTTCTGATGATACTTTCGAATCGATGAGAACAGCTGTTTTTTTTTTTATTAAAATAGTGACTCATGAATTTCTCGTTTTAGCATTCAATAGAAGAAATTAGTGGCGAAACACGTACGTATCAGTTATATGAAAAAAAAAAACAGTATTGTTACAAAACACACCGAGCCTTCACCATTCGTTACGCGAAACATTTTAATTTTGCCTAAGGTTAGAAGGCCGGTCTTCGGTCCTCATCACAAATAATTAATGTTTCGAAAGATGTGTAAGACGAATTTCACGAAAATTGGACTTAACACGGTTAATAAACGCGTCCTACATACTGAATGTTTGCGCAAAGTCTTGCTGTAATCTTGTATACTTACAAACTTTTATATACTTCACAAATTGTTGTTTATACAAGGACAAACTATCCCCAAAATAATAATTAACGTAAATTTACAACTTGTAAGCAGATATAGATGCAAATGACTTTGTCAAAAGTTATGGTATCGTAACGCCTACAGTAATCTGAATATTACAAAT